CTTTTGTGGTGGTTGTGCATGATAATTAATTTATAATTTTTGTACTTAAAACATTTTCTGTAATGACCATGTGTTTTCTAATTATCAGAAGGAAAAAATGGCATTCTGGCATTCTAGAATTGGAGACCCTGGTAGGTGAAATTCAGCAAATCAGGAGGAACTTAGAAATTAGATTATCACAAGTAGATCAAGGGTCTATACAAGAAAATCAATTCAGTGAGGAATTGCATTCAGGTAGGATGAGTGGAGTGTTGGGTTAAGGGAAGCTGGTCCATCCAGAGTTGTGCTTTCCCATTAATTTATGGCTATTTAATTTAAACTTAAATCAAATTGAATTTAAAATTTAGTTCCTCAGTTACACTAACTATACTACAAGTGCTTGATAGCCATAAGTAGCTAGTTGCTGCTGTATTGGACAGTACAGATATAGAATATTTCCTTCATTGCAGAAAATATTGTATCACAGAAAGTACAGGATCTAGAATTCTGGGAGTAGATATCAAGGAACAGGAACTCAAGATAGGCAACAAAAGAACGAAGAAAGACTTAGGGGGTGAGGCTGGGCAACGTGTATCTAGACAAGGAATTTAAGTATTGAGCAAGGTGACACAGCTGGAAGATGGCATTCACGCTTCTGTCAAAGGCTTGTTGAAAGTCCTGCAGGGAATTATTTAAGTATAAATAACAACCCCAATTGGTATCTGTGTTAAATTGTGTTCTGTATCCCATTATGTGATAAATGGTTTCGGAAGGTGGGGGGCTATTGAAAAAACTTCATGGGTCAAGAGTGAGATAATTAGTCCATGAAGGATTTTCTCCTAGATTGTATATGGTGGTGGTTGGAATATTGAATGCCTGTCCCCTGTTTCTCATTTCACTGACCCTTCATGCCATTTAAGGTATAAAGGTATGCATCTTGATAATAGTAGTCACACTCCTACAGTGCTTATGTATATTTTAACATCTCGTTTGACATATTAAGAAAATAGGATAAAAGGCAAGCAACTAGTGTATTCAAACTGAATCAAAGAAAAATAAAATCTAGAATTTCATTGTGTTGAATGATTTTGGATTCCTTAAGCAAATATGACTCAGATTGTAGGTATAATGTGCATTGAAAATACTTGAAGCATGTATATGCATACAGTCCCAAATACCTAGAACGGCATTCACGTACTTTTACAGCACAGAGCTGTTTTGGTTAGACGATTATAATAGCAGCTTACTTATACTTTTGGTGAGATGGTAAGCTAATGATGTAGCCATTAATTTGAATTTAGCAGACATTTTAAATATAGGTTTCTCTTACAGAGACAAAAGTTGCAATTTAAAGCTCTTTGGTGGTCTAAAAACAGCTTAATTCTGTAGTAGCATGGTAGTAAGTACTAATCCAGCTTATACAGTGATTGTAGTATGTCATGTTTGTGAAAGATTGCCCAACTGCTTTCTCTGGGTTTTATGTTAATTTAAAAATATTAAACATAAAACCTTATAACATCTTCATGCTGAGATAAACTGTTCAATTTAACTTGTGCTCAAGCAGCAGCTGTCAGGAATTATCTTGTTCCTAGTGGTTTTTGCTTTCACCTTGTGCCCTTTCCTGCCAGAGACACAGTGTGGGATGGTAAAGCTCACCTTGTTAGGATTTATTGCTTAAATAATACCTGAGGCAAGATGAACATTGGGAGCCTAGGGATTAGCTGCTGATTGATGATGTCATTCATTGCATTAAACACTTTTTTTTTAATTGATGGAGGACGGCAAAGAAAAAATTGCCTATGAATCTTACCTGCATTTCTTTTGTGGGCATCTTCATCACTTCTTTTTAGGTGTCATTGAGCTGAATATTTGAGGAGTTGCTTATTGTCTAATTTAACTTCCATTTTACAAGCAAAAAAGCAAAGAGAAATGTTTTACTAATGTTGGAGATAATTCCCACAATTTAGAAGTAGTGAGCGCTATTTCAAGATTAGTTATAAAAATAAAATGAGTTTCCTGTTAATGACTGAACAAACTGAAGGAAGTGTTGGTGTGGGCAGTCCCAAATGGGTAATATTATGAAAATCATTGCCATTTTACTTCTGAATGTATTGCATTCTCTCGTTTGAGAGCTTTTATTTGAAAGTCTCAATTTTAGATTTGGATTCCTTGATTGTGGATCAGCTGGTAGGTAGGGTAAGGAGAGGCGGTATGTGGTAGGAGGAGAGTGAAGGGCTTGCTTTAGTTAAACATTTGCTACAGATGTTCCACCCTGAGGATAGTTCTCTTGGAGGAAATGAACAATTGGAGTCTGACTAGAAATACATATATGATGGGTTTACTGTTTATGGAATGTGGCATATTTTTCCCTTCTACTTACTGCCATTTAATGAATATCCTCCCAAATTTGTAGTTTTATAAATGTATAACTTAAAAATTTGCAAGACTAGATCAGTGAGTTACAATATATCATTTATTTAGATTAATCAAATGTTAACATTTTGCACATTTATTTCTATCTATGAATATTTGAATATTTGTTTTTAGTGGCCTTTGGACCGAACTATTTAAGACTTAGTTGCAGACATCATTACGCTTCACATGTTAATAATTCAACACGTGTCTCCTAAGAATGAGGATATTCTCCTACATAATTGCAGTAAAATCAATACACTTCAATTTAAGGTTGATAAAACTTCACAATTTTATATTCAGAGTTTCCCTGTTGTTCTTATATCTTCTACAGCTGTTTTTTATTTTTTTCCCCATTCAGTATCCCATCAAGTATCACACATTGCATTTTGTTTGGGGGTCTTTTTATTTCCCTTTATTCTAGATTTTTTTCCTTTTATGACCTTGACATTTTTTGGAGATCCAGCCCATTTATTTTGCAGAATATTTGTCTGGCTATTTCCTCATGACCAAATTCAGATCAAGCATTTTTGTCAGGAATTGGTGATCTCTATCTTTCTCAGTGTATCACATTGGGAAATACATGATATCCCTTTGGCCCATTATTGTTCATATTAAGTTTGGTCACTTGGGTAAGTTAATGTCTACCAAATTTCTTCATTATAAGGGTACGATTTTTTATAATTAATGAATAGATGGAAGCTGCAGTTAATGAGTTTTTCTTCCTTGTGTGTGAAAAACACTGAGTTTGCTCAGGTCTTAATGATTAACAATGAGTCATTGTTTGCAGTAGTTTGTTATGTTGGGACTGGGGAGTGGGAATAGAGGGGGGTGTATTACTCAACTTGATCCACAAGTTGCCATCCGTTTTATTTTAAGGAAAATATAGATTGACTGAGTTTAAATTTTATTGTTCTCTCTACTAAAGATCAGATTTGTAGATAAGCAAATATCTTCATATTTCAGAATTTTCAATCTAAATTTTAGAAAAGCTTATACTTAGTGGTGGTGGTGGGAATATTTTTGGAAAAAATAGAGGACATTTTCTGAACATGAATTTTCTATTTGCTTTAGTTGAGTACAAATAGACAATTTTTAAAAATGCATCTCCTTGATAAGATTTTTTACTTTAAAACAATAAACCATAACATTAATACAGCAATGTGAGTTTAGAGAGGTGGCTGCTTTTTGGTCTTATGTGCCTTTTTTAGCCCATGAAGAAGACACTTGAATTCGTCTTTATGATGTATGCACTTATTATGTAATCATTCTTCTTATGTGAAAGGCTAGTGCTGCAGATCATATAAACACCTGAAGTTAGCCATTTGGCTTGTCAGCAAGGGAGAATTTATAGTAGTTGTAATCATGGTAATAACAAGGATGCTATTTTGTATTTATTAAGTACAGTAAAAAGCGTTTGCAATGTAAGTGGTCCACAACGAATTCATATCTGTGGTGTAATGAATAGTACTTTGGGCTTAGAAGACTGGGAATCTCTGCTTTGCCACTACTACCAGTGTGATTCTAGAAAAAACCCTTAACCTTCTTGGACCTCATTTTTTAGAATGAGAATTAAAGCTGTAAGGGTCAAATGATGCTATATTATGTTATAAAGGTGGCGTTCCATCAAAATTGTGCCATCTACATGTCCTCAGCTGCTCAGGGAATGTAATTTGTCCCTCTTTTGTGTCCACACGTGTTAGCCACCTCATTAGTGAAATATTTCCGGGTTGTCCCAGACAGTTGTCTGTTTGTTCCTCTAGTACTTTGTTCATGCCACTGTTATTGGCAGCATTCATTCTGCAGGCTGTCTTGTTCATCTTTTCTGTTCTTCCTCGCTTGACCCTGGTACCTAGTAGGCATTTATGATAAATGTTTGTGGAATGAGTAAATAGACACTATTTCATTTATAACCATGGATAGGTAGACTTTCAGTTTCCTTTTTATCCCCCAAAGACAAGGAACCAGGCTTTCTTCATTTTTATAATTTATGTTTTATATAAGGGATATTACAGAGTGTACATATGGTGCCATTAGCAGTCCAGTAATCGAGAAGAAAATATAAAAGAAAAACCCCCACAAATATTGCAGAATATTTAAAAGGGGGGCATAAGAAAACATGCCAAGAGAAAAAGCCCTCACTAGATAAGTCTATTGCATGAATCAAAAGGGTTTATGTCATAACACGAACACGTGCCATTCCTGCTCATATATTGAATTTCAGTAGTTGGTTGCATAAAGAAGTAAAGTGTAATGAAACTGGCAAGCAAAGTATTCCCCAGTCAGCCTTATCTTTGTTCCATTTGTCCTTCAGATGGAGCTTTTCTCGGCTTTTTTCAATAAAATCCATCCAGCTTTTTTTTTTTTTGCATCTCTCAGTAACTGAGCTGAGAAGACCAATGAGATTCAGGGCTTTTATAGTTCTTAGCAGCTGCTTTTTAAGAGATCAAAACTTAGAATGCTGCTACATGGTATTAAGGCTTAACTCTTGATGTGTCCCTATGGGGGATATGTTTTCCTTGGGGTAGGATGAGGAAAGAGGAGAGAAGGCACAGGATGCCCACTTCAAGTATGCTCGGGGTGGTAACCCTAATTTCCTTGTTTCCTAGGATTCTCTTCGCAAGCTCAGTGCTTAACCTGACTGAACTGGCTGCCCTTCGGCCTGACCTTGGGAAATTGAAAAAGATTCTGTACTTCCATGAGAACCAATTGGTATATCCTGTCAAGAAATGTCAGGAGAGGGATTTCCAATATGGATACAACCAAATTCTCTCATGGTAGGTATAGATTGTATCATTATATTTAGTCGTTTGCCATCTTTTTCCTTATAGTTAGCTTTTAAATCTGGAGACCTCCTGTACACTTATTTTAAAAATACCTTAAATTAGGAGCAAATGTTTAAACATACCTTCCATGGTAGGAATTACTTGTGCCTCTGCAATATGTACATATAAGAGAACAGCTAATCCTTTTATAAAATACATATGTGTAACAATCTAAATGTTGAACTAATTATCTAACTGTATTTTCTGCAACATTCAAAATAGAATCAAAGGGGTGACAGGGACCTTCTTCAGCCCCTGATTCCATCATCTACTGTGTGAGACATACTTTTAGAAAAAGACAGTTAGTCAACTTTTATTTACCAGCTACTTTCCATGTATCCAGCTGAAATCAAAATAGAAATTTACAGAGGAATAAACAAAAATTAAAGCATAATGGAGCAAGGGGTTTTTGTCCTTTTTTTCCATATTGTTTGTAAGAGAAAACTATGGAAAATGAATCTTTAGGAGGTTTTTTTCCCCTCTTGAGTCTTCTGAAACTGCATAGCCTTAAAATACCATGACATTTCAAAGGTGATGGTCCTTCTCTACTGTTACTTCAACAAAGTGTATCTCCTGAAGCTTAGTTAATGAAAGAAGTTAATAACAACTCTGAAACAGCTTTGCTATTGGATCCCATCCACATAACTGCAACACTCTAAGGGAGTCAGTTTGGCAGTGATTGGGTTCAGTTTACTCACCTTTTTTAATAGTTATTAGCAACTGGGATTGATGATGTGTTTAAACAGACTCCCAGCTCTTTTGCAAGTATATTCCATAGTTTCACTGACATAGAAAAACAGCTAGATGGTAATACTTCTGTGTTTTGAGCATTTTGTAAATGTTTTCCTGCAATCATTTTTACAAGCTGCTTCAAATGAAGTAGCAGCGCTATCAAAATAGAGCGGAGCTGCTTCACATCAAATGTCTCATAAAAAAAGCAGCCGTTTTAAAATTTCATAATAAAATTAAAATTCTTTATTTTATATTGAAACAGAGGGGAAAATATGTTTTAAAAACAAAAATAAAATCATTTTGTGCTTTATCAATATGGAAAACATTTGTAATATTCTTTTGGTTTCTTGAATTAGCCTCATTCTTTTCCTCAGATAGTGTGTGTTTATTACCCGTGAGAAATAACTGGGGAAAAAAATTAAGTCTATTTTTCCCTTTATGGGTGGCTTTAAAGTTAATGGAAGTTACACCCACTCATATCAGAGAGGAAATGCATGAAAAAGAATATTTCTGTAAACTGTCTTGGAACTTTAATTTGGCATAAACTGGGTTTTTAAGAATATAAGTAGTTGGGTTGAATGCCGTTTGAGGGCAGATAGCTAAAAAAATTTTTAGCTCACTACCCCTCATCTCTCTGTTTCAGAAAAGATTGCTTTGCTCAAAGGGAATGAGACTATAAAAGCTTATATATAATTTTTCAGCATTGCTCTTCTCAAGAGCGTAAACTGATAGATGAGCTTGGAGAGAGAGAAGTGGGCTTGATCATTGGTGGGACTCTTAATGAGAAAAAAACTGGCTTGCAGTCATCCAGAGGAAAAATAAGAGTGTCAGAAAGCAGTCCTGTTCAGATTCAGTTTGAAAAGTATGACTCCAGCTTCTTAAAATGTTTCTTTCATTTTCTTGCTGACTTCTGCTTTTGTTGGCACTGTCAGGTTTCTTTCTTGACTGTGTGACAGTTAAGGACTTCAGAGATGACCGACATAAGCATTCACCTTAAATAGAGGTTTCACTAACCCTCTGACTGATGAACACATGCCATAACTATGTATTATGACCTGTGGGTCACTATTACAATATGTGACATATGGTGAAAACAGACTAGCTGTAAAACATCCTTCAACTTTTGGTATATTATTATATTGGCTTCCTTATTGCTTGATATTGTGTCAGCACTTCTGTGACACTCTCTTGTATTATCCATGTTGTAATCACTGCTAATCCCAAGTTTGCACTAGGTTGCAACTAAAAAAAAAAAAAAAACTTGTATGGGAAAACAATTTTGCAGGAGTGGGGGCAGATAGGGGTGGCAGGTCAACATTCCTTTTGTTAGTTTTTCATTCCGCTATGTATTGATAATAGAAACTTTGACTGTCTCAGTAAATGTGAATTAAACTAAACTGAGGACTTGCTGTGGTCCTGCTCTATATGCTCTGTTTATTCATTTGTGTTTTACAGTCCTGTGAGCTTGCATGTCTTCTTTTCAGTTTCCTTGATGTCCTTTACAGGGTGAAATAAAACTAACTGCTTTTTCTATTTGATCTTGTATACCTTCTTATCAAAGCATTTGTATGCATTTTATTGAGATCCAGTGACACTGAGACACTGAATCATGGCTTAAAGCAAAGAGGGTTATTTTAAAAAACAAAACAATGATTTATTAAAATGGTTTTTTGATTCATAAAGGGAACATAGTACATATTCCTGTTTATCCAGCTCACCCATAGTTATCGTTTGTGTTCATTGGTTTCCAAGAAAATGTTATAGGCAAATTTGGAAACTACTGACATATTAATGACACATAAACTTTGTTTTTACATTTCCTTCTAACTATGTATTTTAGATTATTTTTAATAAAAAAAATACTAAGGAGAGGCTCAAGCCTTTACATCAAAAGCAACAGCCAATATTATATTTCTTTCGTTTAATTCTGAAGGTCCATGGTGTTGTGGTCCTTTATAATACATTATGTAATCAGTAGGACCTAGTGGTATGGATTTCTGGATCCATTTTCACCAACTTCTTCTATTTCTCTGACTACTCCAAATCTAATATAATAAAAAAATAAGTTATTTGTAGAGTTTCTATATAATCCTTCCTGTGTAGTCTCAGAACTTTAAAAAACCTAACAGTTTCTTGAAGCAAGGGTTAAAATGAGAAATAGACTTTAACTACATGTTATGAAGGTATGCTCTTAGTATGAAATAGCTTTATCTGGATTAATCTCCTTGAAGGCAGTGAAAAGTATGGCAAGTGTTCTGTTCTCAGTACTGTGGTGTAAAACGAAGTACATCACTGACATAGAAACCCAACATGGGTAGTTGGGCCACAAAGAAAAAGGTCCTCCTGTACTTGGTGATAATATTGAAAATTCCTGGCATTGCGGAAAAGTACACTGGGTTGGCCAAAAGGTTCCTTCGGTTTTTTTTTTTTTGCGGTACGCGGGCCTCTCACTGTTGTGGCCTCTCCCGTTGCGGAGCACAGGCTCTGGACGCGCAGGCCCAGCGGCCATGGCTCACAGGCCCAGCCGCTCCACGGCATGTGGGATCTTCCCGGACCGGGGCACGAATCCGTGTCCCCTGCATCGGCAGACGGACTCTCAACCACTGCGCCACCAGGGAAGCCCTCCTTCGGTTTTTAAAGTAAAAATGAAAGACATATTTTTCATTTTCACCAAGAACTTTATTGAGCAACGTATTCACTGTTTTGTTCCACTACCTTCTGCCGTCTTTCAGGCAGCTTCATAATTCCATCTTCCCAAAGCTTTTTATCTTTTTGAGCATAGAACTGTTGCAGGTGCCTTTTACAGCCTTCCAGGGAATTGAAATTTTTTCCATTAAGAGAATTTTGTAAAGACCGAAATAAATGGAAATCTGAAGGTGCAATGTCTGGTGAATTCGGCGATGAATCAGCTTGATCCCAGTCAAGCTGTAACAGTTTTTGCCTGATCATCAAAGAAACTCGGTCTTGTGTTATCCTGATGGAAGATTATGCGTTTTCTGTTGACTAATTCTGGACGCTTTTCATCGAGTGCTGCTTTCAGTTGGTCTAATTGGGAGCAGTACTTGTTGGAATTAATCGTTTGGTTTTCCAGAAAAAGCTCACAATAGAGGACTGCCTTCCAATCTCACCAAATACACAACATCACCTTCTCTGGATGAAGACTGGCTTTTGGTGTGGTTGGTGGTGGTTGATTTCGCTTACCCCACCATCTCTTCTGTTCCACGTTATTGTACAGGATCTACTTTTCATCGCCCATCACAATTTGTTTTAAAAACAGAACGTTTTCATTACGTGTAAGTAGAGAATCGCACGCAGAAATACGGTCAAGAAGGTTTTCTTCCTCTTAACTTTCGTGGAACCTAAACACCAAACCGATTCACGTAACCAAGCTGGTGCAAATGATTTTCAACGCTTGATTTGGATATTTTGATTATGTCAGTTATCTCCTGCATGGTGTAATATTGATTGTTCTTAATTAATGTCTCGATTTGATCGCTGTCAACTTCAACTGGTCTACTGGAGCATGGAGCATTGTCCAGTGAGAAATCTGCAGCACGAAATTTTGCAAACCCCTTTTGACGTATTCAATCAGTCACAGCACCTTCTCCATACACCACACAAACCTTTTTTTTTTGCGTTTCAGTTGAGTTTTTACCTTTCTTGAAATAATAAAGCATAATATGCTGAAAATGTTGCTTTTTCCTCCCATCTTCAGTATTAACATGGCTACACAGAAATTCACCAATTTTGATTTTTTTTTTTAAAGGCACGCTGATATGACAGCTGTCACAATGCAGTGTAACAAAATTATTTCGAATGAAGTTGAAGACAACTAAAGTGCTACTGGAGCCATCTTACGGAAAACACCAAACGGACTTTTTTGGCCAACCCAATACTTTGGTTTGAAGTGTCATAGTATCCCATTAAATCACTTAATTCCTCTCCTGCCTTTCCTCTCTGATGCCAATAATCTGCCTTCCCTTGATATAATGCTAATGAAACTAACCTATCTATTAGAGTCATTTTGATAAATACTGGTAGGAAGTGCAGAGTTCTTTGCAAACCCAAGGTGCAGTATAAACTCTGATTAATAAAGAAATCTTAGGCTTATAAAAATAACTGAACAAGTGTGGGCTCACCATATGCATTTATCCTTTCCCTTTGCAGCCTGGTGGCTGATGTGGTGGTATTCAACTCGGTTTTTAATATGGAGTCATTTCTTACTTCTATTGGAAAATTCATGAAGCTGATTCCTGATCACAGACCCAAAGATCTGGAAAGCATCATCAGACCCAAGTGCCAAGTTATTTACTTTCCCATCAGGTTTCCTGATGTGAGCAGGTCAGTACGTTTAACTCCATTTTCAATATTGTGTCATAAATTATTCCCCAAATGTGTAAAAATCGGTGATGTTCTTGCCAATTTTGACTTTTCAGCGTAAGCATGATTAGTTAGAGAATCAAGTTCTATTTCGCCATGCTGTGATTTACAAAGATTTTAAATAATCATGTGTCCAACCTGTCACTGAATGGTTAATTCTGATACTGAGTTTTTCCTTTCTTTTCTCTTATTTATTTGTTTGCCAAAGCAAGGTGCTTTGGCTTTTAACACTTACTGTTTTATTTATTTGTTGTTTTGCTACAGAAGTCATTGTCAAGCATAGGTCTCAACCTTTGTATTCAGCTTATGCCCATTGGTTTATATGTATAATAGTAACTTCTAAGTAAATCACTGTTAAATTTTACTGCTTAGATTACTTTCATTTCCCATGCTGTTTTTTCTGTTTTTTTCCCCCTTCTCCCATTTTTTATTATTTATATTATCTTATTAAAGAGTTAGGTCTTCTATATTGGGTTGCAAATGCACTTAATTGCCATTTCTTTTTCTCAGTCACTAAGGATATTTTTTATTACCCTTATTGCTGGGCCCACCCTGAATTAGCAATGGATGATGTGGCTCAAAGGGAACATTCTAGAATTCCTTTTCACTTTTGATTAAACCTAGCAAAATTGTTTTTAGTACCACCAGGAATATTTTCCCCTTGTGAATAGAAAGTTTACTTCAGTGGGAATCATACTAGCTGGGGATGCTGCTGTTTTGTAACTGACTGTGTCCTTAAAAAGAGTTCAGGGACAGCTGTTTCTTCCCCATCCTTGAAATGAAGGCAGGAGACAATTTAATATCCACATATGCTATGCAGGAGGTCAGCATTAGTCTCTATGTTCCGGACTAACTGAGTTCACCCAGATTTTGCTGTGGGGACACCCACTCTTCCACACCCCTAATACTGATTTAAGTGTCTGACTGGTTAATATTGCATTGAAGAAAAATCTGCCTAATACCAAATCAAGCTAGTGAGTCATAAAATTTAAGTTAGAACAACTTGCCTGATCCTTACTTTATGGAGTTCAGAAAACAGAAAGCCGGAGAAGCAGACTGGCTTGTGCTCACACTGCTGATTACTGTCAGAGACTGTATTAAAATTTAGACTCTATGACTTTTGATTAAATTTTCTGTTAACTACCTAATCTTCCTGTCAGTATAGGTCATTTGTCAAAAATACTTAATGATTTATTTACAGTTTTGAAAACTATAAAGCTAAGTGAAACTAAGATCACAGTTGATTTTCATATATATGTAAATATGTATATAATATGTATTTGTAATATATAATTTTCATATGTGTGATGAGAGAATGTCAACTTCTGAAGAATATGATTGTTATACTTTAGATCTGTGATTAACTAGAACACAGCTTATACTTTAGATCAGGGGTCCCCAACCCCCGGGCCTGGTAGGAACCAGGCCGCACAGCAGGAGGCGAGTGGCGGGCGAGCGGGCGAAGCTTCATGTGCCGCTCCCCATCGCTCCCCATTGCTCGTAGTACCGCCTGAACCATCCCCCGGTTCGTGGAAAAATTGTCTTCCATGAAACCGGTCCCTAGTGCCAAAAAAGTTGGGGACCGCTGCTTTAGATCATATTTTGAACCTTATTTTTTGACATGCTTTTAAGTTTCTCATATAATAATATATCGTCAAAATGCACATCTTTAAGTGAATAGGTAGTTATAGCACATCTTAATTATTACTGCTATAGAATTCCAAATAAATAGTATGTTTTAAAATGCACTTGCATCTGATATAGTCCTACAACATCCTATGTTTAATATACCTGTGGCAATTGAATAGTTTATTAATTTGGACTGTATTACCATAAATAAATCTAGCTAAATGGAAGAAGGTTAAAAAATATTGTGGCCAAGATAACATTCATAAGCAAGGTCTTAGCCCAGAGTGTTATTTGAATTATTTTCAAATGGTAATTTGCTTTATCCAACCCAAACTCATATAGTGTAAGTAAGTGATTATTTGCATGAATGGCAATCATTCTAATGCCTGCAGTCTTAAAAGAGTATTATTTTGTTGAGATGTTGAAAAATGTTTAGTAATTCCAAAGGCAAAATAACCAAGGTGATTAAAAATAAAAAAAATTTTGAATGGTTCTATCTTTCTCTCAAATTTAATTTAAAAACAAAGCAGCAGAACATATACTTAAATTATTAATATAATGTGCTCTAGTAATATATAATATAAGGTATATTAATCAGGGAAGGGAAAAAGCCATATTTCAGCAAAATATTTGAGGATTTATAAAGTTGATAACTGTTAAAACTCAGAGCATGTCTGTCATACAGAAATTCAATATTGGGCTTGTAGTACCTGCTGTACCTATTACCTTCCTCACCCCTCCACTGCCTCATTCTCAAAGACCAGAAAAACAGTAGTAAGAAAGAATATTCACTTGAAAATATTTCATTATATGTATTAAAACATTTTGAAGTGGGAAAGCTCTTAAATACTGTAGTTAGGCATGCACGTATTTGAGTCTTGACCGCCACTTACTAGCTCTGTGACCTGTGCAAGTGTAATGACCCTGAGCTTAGGTTCTTTAATGGTTATGATTATATTTACCTTATCCCCTCATAGGCATGATGTAGCTATTAAATGAAATAATGTGTGCCAAATGCCCAGCCGAGTGCCTGGCACATAACAGAACCTTAATAAAGTTTAATTCATCTTATTAACTCCTTCATCCCCATTGTTTTATAACCTAGCACATTTATTGCCACCTGAATATAAAGGACTGTCTTCCCCTTTGCCCTCTTTTAACACGTGAAAGTAAAGAAGTACTCTGCCAAAGGAACAGCCTAATATAAATAAAGAGGTTCCTTTATATATTCTTTTTATCATCCTGACTCAAGCAGCCTTTTGGCTTCACCAGAACCTATAGCATCCATTGATGGTAAGGAGCCAGCTCCTTACATTCATTCTTCTCTTGTCCTAATTTTCCTCCTTTCTCCAGTTTAACTTCCACATTCTGTCATCATACTCCTTTCTCGTGTGTACTCTCAAATCTTTTGCACCTTTTCTTTCATATTTGATTAGGAGGAAAACCTCCAGCCGTACTTATTAGCCTACTCTAAATTCATGACCCCTAAATCCACATGGACCTGTTGAGCTGCATGGCGAGTGTACCATAATTCCCCTTTTCTAAATAACTAATCATGCATTTTCCTTTCTTTGTAAGCTTTTAATACCAAATCTTCTGTCTTCCTTCTCAGATCATGACTGAAAAAGATAGACACAATCAGAAGAGAATTTCTATATGCTGCCACCATTACATCTACCCAGTTATGTGCCTCTGGGTGCATATTTTTTATCTTCTCACCTGTAACTATTGATGGATTGACCTTACTTCTGACTAAGGCCCTGTTTCCACTTCTTTGCTGGAGCCCATCCTTCTTGCATACCTAAAAATTATTTTTCTAGCAATTTTTTTTCTCTGATCTGCGTCATCCATTTTCCTCTTTTCTGGATGGTTCCTATTAGCATACAAAAAATGCTATTTGCTTTACATCTTAAAAATATTCTCTCTTGATTCCACTTCATCCTCTGCTACTACCTCATTTCTTTATTTCTCTTAGTAGCAAAACCTCTTGAAAGAGTTGTTTACACTTGTTTCCAATTTCATTCCCATTGTTCTTTCTTCAAGCTACTCCACTGAGACTGTTTTTGTCCAGGTCCCTGATGACTTCCATGCCTCTAAATCCTGTTGTCAGTTCTCAGTCCTCATCTTACGTCACACATCAGCAGCATTGGGCACACTGTGACACAGTCTTCAAGCTGGCTTCCAGGACACAGGTGCTGCTTCTCAGGAGTTGTTGCTGGTTTCTCATTATGACCTTGATCTTTAGCTTTGGACTGGCCTTTCCCACTCTTGACCCTTAAGGGGTTAGTGGAGGAAGAGCCCAGGATTGAAATGAGAAGAAAAGATAAAACAGTCAGGAGGTCATCAATGAGAGAATTATCCTGTGGAATACAGGGAAGAGAGTTTTAAGGAGATGATTGATAGTGAATTCAGAGGAGTGAGGTTAAATAAAGTGATGACTAAAATTATCCTTGAATTCAACAATTAAAGGGTCAGTGGTGCCCCACCCTGCATTCTGTTAACTCACAAAAAAGTTTCATATGTTTTTTTCTGGTAGGGAGAGAAACAGCCTTCAAGTCTAGGTGAGATCTCTTTTTCTTTCTCTTTCTCTTTCTCTTCCTTTCTCTCTCTCTCTCTCTCTCTCTCTCTCTCCCCCCCCTCCCTCTCCCTCTCCCTCTCCCTCCCTCTCCCTCTCCCTCCCCCTCTCCCTCCCCCTCCCCCCCCCCACACAGAGGCTCTGCTCCATATTTTAAAGATGAAGGCACAAAGGCCCAGAGAAGTTAAGTGTCTTCTGGTAATCACACAGCTAGATATAGACAGAGCAGAAACTGGAACTTCTATCTCAAAATCTCCATCGAGTGCTCAGCTCACCACTTATTGTGAATGCAGTTTCAGAGGTCTTGATTATCTGATTTTTCAGCTGACAGCAGATTAGCAGCATCAAATTGGGGGTGCGATAAAGGCAGGCTCACTGACAGCAGTGAAAAGTGACAGCTGACTGACAGCTTGACAACAAGGGAGGAGAGAGATAAACTGTTTAAAAAAATATATGAGAAGTGAAAAAGCATGGCAGCCTGGAGCCATTCTAGGGCAGTACAGGCAACTCTACACGTGGATGAACCCCTGCAGACATTCCTCCATGATTGTACAGCTTGTACATCAAATGGATAACTGTGATTTATTAAGCAAGATTAAATGGTAGCCAGTACATTCTCTTTAAGAATATAGGGAAATTCATAACCCACTTTTGGCAGAAATTATAAATGACAGCAAATGGAGCTCAATGTCATGCCTTACTCCAGGATGTACATGAACCATGTTCACCTAAAGGAAGATAATAAACATCTAACCCT